CGCAGGCCCATCCAACTTTCAGTTTCCTCTAAACCATTCTCCACTAGTTCTATACAGAATACCCTATTCCTTCTAGCTGGCGACCCACGTCATCTCTTTTAACACGGAACCCGACCTGAGGTTCGCAGCGGCTAGGATCTCACCGACTAACTTGAGTCATTGCAGTAGCTGTAAATTGTGTGTATGGACTTACTACGACTCCATCAAAGGCTCTATTCATTATAATTCTATTTAAGCTACCAATGCCACAGGGGCTAGGAAAGCCCGTGTGGCTTGTAGGTTGTAGAGAGGCTTTCGGGTGTTGGGTTTTCATCTTGATCGGTCGTTGTGGTAGGTTGGGTTTGAAAAAGTTGCTTTAGTTGTGTGAAGGGGCACAAGATGAATGTTCTCTAGATTATTCGAGACCCGAAAGTGCAACCACAACGCACGCACAAATTGCAGGGACTGGTATTAGCTAGCCTCTATGTCGCCTAGCTTTGTTCTGGAACCCGAGTGACTCAAGGCTGTCAATCTTTATTACAAATGGTTGAGCTGTACAGCAAAGTCCCGTTGTTTTCCAGCTGCTGATTTGCAGCCTCGCCAGGAACTTTAATACGAACACAAATCGGATGGAAATAGTAATACCGACAATTGCACTGAAGAAAATATTACTAACATGCACATTAAATGTGCAGTTTTATTTGACAGCGAATTATAGAGACAAATAGACGGCGTGGCTATGGGCTCGCCTCTTGGACCTCTCCTAGCTGACATATTAATGGGCAAGCTGGAGGAATGTCAACTAAGTAATCAGATCCACAATCTAAAACACTATGGTCGCTACGTTGATGACATCTTCGCCATCGCCGCAAAAGAAACTGACGTAGACGCACTCTTAAATGCGGCCAACCAAGCACATCCATCCATTAAGTTCACGCTGGAGGTGGAAAAGGTAGGTTCGCTTCCCTTCTTGGACGTCCTCCAAAGTCGCAGACCTGACGGTAGCGTCCGAAGGAGCGTGTATAGAAAGAAAACCTGGTCTGGACAGTGCACGAATTTTAAAAGTTTCGTACCCCTTCAACAGAAGCGAAATCTAGTTCGCTGCTTAGCGCAAAGGTCTAGAAAACTAGCTCAGCAGACAGTATTGAGGAGGACCTCAAGAAAATCGCGGACTGACTTTGTGAGAGCGGGTATCCCGATAGATTTATTACAAGGAATATGACGGAGAAACAAATAAAAACCACCGCACTTACTGTAGAAAAGAAAACACTATTTCTCAAAGTCCCCTTTAGAGGGGATGCAGCAAGCGAACTGCTGAAAAGACGCCTTGACCAAATCGTTTCAATAACCTTCCTAGCAGCCGCAGTTCGGGTATTATTCTCAACTAACCCAATCTTAAATGGGGGAGGTAAGGATAGGTTACCAGCTCAGACTATCTCAATGTGCATCTACTCTTTTACTTGCTCCTGTGGAGCAGGTTATATGGGTAGCAAAAACCTGAATGGCTGAGAATATGGGAAGTCAGGAGCATAAACAGTTCTATTCTAGCGCACATGGTCGATTCTGGACATCGAGTGGACCCCAACGACGCTTTCCTTGTGATCTACAAGGTCCCACCAACAGCAGAAGCAACCGCTATCAGGCTGATGAAGCCCGCGTTGCGTACACAAACGAACTTCTTACAACATCCACATTTGGCCTGGCCCAAAGTCACTTAACAGCATGCAGTCATCCGCACTCTGTGTGTCTCCCCCCATCCCCCCTCCTCCCTCCCCTAGACTGCTCTATCAAACTCTACCCTCACAGCCAGCCTTCGCTTATCGACCCCACTGCTATTCCCACGACTCTCTTGTCCGAAAAGGCGAACACGTAACTTGCACCCAGTTTCCATATAAATGTAAGACCTGAAGAGAATTTATCGAAGGTATACATACACTCGCCAAATTAGCCTTCTCAACACTATAGCATCAAACCAGACGATCAGAACACATCTAATCCTCCAGGCAAGGCAACGGACACCATAGCACTGCATCATGGTTGGAGTACTGCAGGAGGATAATTAAATTATTGCGAACGACGGGGTCCGCCACCACTCCATGGTGTGATTCCGGTAGTGTCTGCTAATAGCAGTTGTGCATAGGGAATCAGACTTGAGCCGTTTTAACCGCACTCTATTCTCCCGCACACCAGCCATGCACTGATGGCAAAACAAAGTCAAGTCGACTGCGAATGGGCGTGGAGGTAGTGAACAAATAAAGCTAGGTGGTTCATTAACTCGTGTGCCACACAGTCTACTTCTGTCTTGGAGGCAGTTGTCGCATCTTCTTCTGAGAGGCTTTTGTCTCCACCTCCAAGCTGGTTTTTATGTGGTCTAGTACTTAAGGACAAAGTTTTGCGACTAACAAGTATCTTAAAGCTGCATGAGTAAGATAACGAAGAGACATAGAACAATTGGGAATTTCACAGAATTAACGGCATAACAGCAAGGTAAATTATCGATAAAGGACAGTGCAGTGACAAGATGCTGCTGAGAGGCTGTCGCGAAATTTATTGATATCAATTAATCCTGCCATTTATGCCTGCTTTAAATTTGTACCGGGGAACAAATGCTTCAAATAAAAAGTATTTATTAAAACTTGTGGTTAGTTCCCAGGTGGTCATTTATTTCACTCTGGTTTGAAACCCAGACATGCTATTTTATTTCGCACAACGAGACGACGCAGTCATTCTGCGCAGTTTGGCCAGTTGATCAAAAAGAATTGGCAGTTCTTATACCGACAAAGTATTCGGTTTATTTTTTTTAATAAAAGAAACTACTAGAGATACGAAAACAAAACGACTGCAGCCCTTTCGCATAAAATGGGGTTTAAAAAGTGTCATTTATGTATTAGATGCGAGTTGAATTCAAATGATCAAAACCGAATTTCAGCTAGCTACTTAATACTTGCCTTTCTTATGTGAGAGATTTCATTAACGTCATTGTGGACTACTTTTTGAGTAACTGAGAGGCATGTTGCGACAAATTTTTATATTTTATGTCCGCGTTGTGAGACTTGTCCGGGACCATGAATAAATATACGATCTGTAGATTAGTAGATAGGCGAACGCCGATCAAATAGAGGGCACACCTGCCCTGGTTTTGATATCCTGTGTGTTCGGGAACCCCCAACCCTTACCACATAGCTAATTGTAATGATACTTACTATGTTTCAGTAACATTTTTGTTATTTTAGGACATTTGACCGGTAGACGGAGATGTCCACGAAGGTCTTTTCTTCCCCATTAAGCGTCATCAGGTGGGGATACTCTACTTCAGTGTAGCAGCGGAAATTGCCGGCTAGACGTCGGGACCGATACCTCAATGGTTAAGGCGTTTGCCTCTGACCGGAGAGACGCGGGTTCGAAACCTTTTGGTTAGTTCCCAGGTGGTCATTTATTTGACTCTGGTTTGAAGCCTAGACATGCTATTTTATTTCACAAAAAGAGACGACGCGGTCATTCTGCGTAATTTGGCCAGTTGCTTAAAAAGAATGGAAAATTCTTATACCAACAAAGTGGTCAGTCTATTTTTTTATAAAAGAAGCTGGCGTCAGCTACAAGAGCTACAAAAACAAAACAATTGCAAACATTTTGCATAGAATGGAGTTTAAAAAGGTGTCATTTATTTAGTAGACGCGAGCTGAGTCCAAATTCCAAAAATCGGATTCCAGCAAGTCACTGAATCTTTGCATTTATCATGCGAGAGATTTCACTGACGTCATTGCGGACTGTCCTTTGATTAGCTGGGAAGCATGTTGCGACAACTTTTTATATTTTGCGACGGTAGGGTGGGGCTTATCCGAGACCAGAAATAAAAATAGGATCTGCATGCCACCTTCTTCTTTGAAATGGCCTTTGTTTGAAATAAATCTAGTCAGAGAGTTATAACACATGACCTTTTTCAATTCTGAACAGAGAGGATTGCGCAACGAGCGGGGGTTTGTTAAGACAAAATTAGCCAACCAAGTTATATAACTACGAAAGGCATTCACTCGAAATCTCCTTCCTCTGAACTGGTATCATAAAACCAAGTAAAAAACTCGAAACTGTGTGTGCGGGAATGCAATTTAAGATCCATCTACTTTCACCTGAGGATGAACAGTTTTGGGTATCTATTTTCAAAA